AGTATTTCCGACAGCTGTCGCGGTTTATGTAGCCAAGAGGGCCACAGAGTAACCGAGACAGCACCAAGAGGTGGCAGCAGGGAGAGCGGGAGGATGTAGCAGAAGCGGAGTCTAAAAGGGCGGAGGGAAGAAGGGAGGGTGTACATAATTGTAAATAACGCTCAAGTATGTTTGCATGAGAATGGTGGGTGTATGAGTTGGGGTGGGTGCATGTTTCGTTTGTGTCCTGTGCAGGGCGAGAGCTGTTGACGCGGATAAGCACAGCACAGCCGACAGGTGGCAGAAGCTGCAGTTGAACATGCACGCCATGCTTGCAGCTGGCGAAGGTCTTGCGCTGGAGCCCATGCAGATTCAGAGCGCCTGCGGTTTGTAAATACGGCTCGGCACCCCGAGCCTCGCCCATGTGATGTTTGCATGCTAGAAGCGCTAGGCTAGGGCAGCAAGGTTGTCTTGTACATAGCAGAGCTGAAACCCTAGTGTTGGCTGCTTCGTTGAATGTTTCCCGTTTTGCTCAAATGTAATCCTGTTAACCCAGTCGCAGGCAGTCATGAGCACGCTAGGGAACCAGCTTGTCAGCCGGTAGTAGGAAGGAGATTTTCTGAGTGGGGTGTCACGATGGAGCGCTGTCACACGATACACAGTATACAGCAGTTAGGGCGTGGGTAGTGCCCCCATAGCAAGAGCAAGAGAGAGTGGGGGGGAGAGGAGTCCAAGAGGAGAGAAAGAGGGGGGGAAGGGAGACCCAGGGGACTACAGGCAGTATCGGCAGGAGTCAGGAAAAGGGGCCATACAGAGTATTTCCGACAATGTGAATACCAAAAGCCTTCCGGACTGAAGTCTGGATCAAGATTTGGAGGGTGTGTCCAGTCGGCGAAGTTCACGATGGCGTCGCTGTCTGTGGTGCCCAGGTCTGGGACGAAGTCGAGGACAAAGACATTGTTCTTCAGGACTGCCTTTCTGATGTAGAGGCCGCCCTTCCCGTGGTACAGTTTGAACTCCTGGGTGGTACTGTCGGCTTCCAGGTGTATGCCTTTCGCCATCAACTGACTGACACTTAGTAAGTTGTAGCCGAGTCCCTCCGCGATTAGTACCTTTGACATCTGTAGTATGACGTTTGTCTCTCGTGACTGAAGTTGCACAATTCCTTGTCGTCGTGTGTGCAGGTTTTGGTTGTGGGCGACTGTGATGACAACCTCTTGTTGAAGTCGGTGCTCGCGTTGAACGAAGCGTCCCGAGGAGCACATGTGCTGTCCGCAGCAACTGTCCAAGAACCATGTGTCCTTTCCGGACGGCTCGCTTTGAGCGATGGCGGCGTACGTTGGGTTCGGTTGAAGTGACTCGCGGCGAGGCGTGCTGATGTCGAGTTGTTCTTCTGGTGAGTAATGTGGTGGTGACTCAGTTACGCAGGAGTCGCTTAGTCTTGCCATGCAGCTGACGATGTTTCTTGCTTCTTTTGCAGGTTGTCTTGTCGATGTTGTTGACACTTGTACCGAGGTTGTCGGACTTACTTGTGTTGAGGCAACTTGATTGCTTAAAGGACGAAGTTGACGTTGCGGCGACGTTGACTGTTGTCGATTCGGGCAGTGAGTACGAGGATGCCCTGAAGTCTTGCAGATGTGGCAGAACGGAGGTACTGGCTTCGGTTGTTGCTGCCGGTTGTTGTTGTTGTTGTATTTGTAGCGTCGCTGAGTGTGGAACGCGAATTCGGGTACTGATGTCCTTTTCTTGTGTCGTTCTTCTTGCAGGTCCATGTCTTGCTGCTCAGCATGGATTTCGGCGCAGAGTGCTGCTTTGGAGATTCTCCCGTGTGCTCGTAGTATGGCGCGAGTGGAGCGCCAGTGAGGTCCAAGACTGCCGATGACAACCGTGACGAAGGCGTCTTCTGAAATCGATCCTCCACATCGAAGAAGCTTGTCGCGCAGCTCGCGGCAGCGACTGATATACGCCATTCCCTTCTCGCCTGGTTTCATCTCGATTGTTGTCAACTGCGCCATTAACCGACTTTGGTTTACGCTGTCTGTTGTTTGATACAGGTTCTTCAAGTGATTGTACGCGAGCTCCGCAGAGTTGCCATATCCTCGGTAAGTCCTTATGTTCTGCTGTTGAGTCGGTGTGATGTTTCTCAGTAGTATCGTGTACGCCATCATTGAGTGATAGGTGTACTGCTGCTTCTCGTACAGTGTACCGTTTGTTGGGTATGGCAGGGACCCGTCGAAGAAGCCAAGAATTTGCGCTCCTTCCATCATCACCTCGAATTCGAATGACCAGGTAAAGAAGTCCTTCCCCTCGAAGGGTTTTGTCGTTTGCAGTTTTAAGACGTGCGCGAACTGCGACTGAACTTGTGGTGCGTTCATCGCTCTTTCTTGGTGCAGGTTGTGGTTGTGGCGTGAAGCTGACGGAGCCGCGCTGGGGCTCGTACGGAGCGAAGGTAGGTTGTTGTTGATTTCCGCGCGCGTAGGATGAGCCATCGAGACTCATGGGTGTCACGTTGTTGTTGTTGCTGTTGTTTGATGTTGCAGGTACTCCTTGCTGGTGCTGCTCGTAGAAGGACATGAAGGAGAAGAATTTCTCCATCATGCTTGGATCGAAGCCCGCGCCTTGGTTTGCGGGCGTTTCAGTAGACCCAGCGGCTGGTCTTGTTGATGTGCCTTCCTCTGTCTGTAGACCAGAGGCAGGAGGTGGAGTAGGAGTGGTACCAGGAGAGCCGTTGGAGGAGCTTCTCTCCTTTCTGGTAGACATGTCTCATAATGTAATCAAAGAAGTAATAGAGTTTTACCCTAACTGCTCTCATACCATGTTGGGCTGAAATGCCCCTTAGGATCTTTGGTAGGATGAAACTCTAGGTAAAGTGATGTAATAGCGGAAGCGTTTAAGAGAAGATTCTGAACCACCTTGCGCTGGTATGTGAGGGCAAAGTAAGTTGATTAAAGCAAAGAGATACAAGATTATATAAGAGTACAAGGAATACGAAGAGATACGGTTGTTACCGCTTTTGCTGTTGCTTGTTGTGGTTCGATACAGTGACGACTCGGGCAACTGCTTAGTATCGAGTCAGTTGTGTGTCCTTGCTGTCGCGCTGTATTTGTCAAGTCAAAGGTCGCTGACCTTTGACTTTCGCGTAACCTCCAGCGGTTACTTCAACCTCCGAGGGTTGACTCGCTAGTGCCTCGATATGATTTGCTTCGCTTGTGCCTTGGTGTTTCGACACGATAGAAGCGCTTTAGGACCGATTGTTTCCAACACATATCAGGGTCCCCTAGAGCCCTTTGCTTGACATTCATGATAATTTTTGAAAGTGTAATGAAATGTAACACTTTCTAAATTTTTGTATTGTGAAAAGGGGTACGTGGCCAACACAGCAAAGGTAGCGCCAAAGCGCTACTCGCCTTCTTTTGCCTACAAAAGAGGGACGTGGGGACATTCGTCCCCACCCACGTTTTCATTTCTCAATTTGTAGTTATAATTTCTCGTTCTCGTCACTCTGGCGAAGACACAATCCCTTCCGCGCTTCATGTCAGAATGTTATATTTGTTCTCTAGCCTGCAGTGGGGTACTCTATAGCGAGTTTAACCCCTTAGGGTTTCATACATGTATCCCTTTTCTTGCTAGTACAAACTCTCCTTTTTGCCTAACTACTTCCTTGCCTAGCTAGGTTAGTCCTAGCTATGGCTTCTACTCATACTTACCTATCTTCACACTTCACAGCCCCGACAACACTCCTCAACGATATCCTTCAGCGCAACTTAGCTAACATGGCTCCGGCAAACTCGACGCTTAACCGCAACAACGCGACCACTTCAAGCCCGGGTAACGCGGGAGAAACTTCAATTCCCGCCGGGGGAAACGATCGCCGCGGGAAACCGATCTCCGAAGAAATTTCTCACGAGGGACCCTCGGCTGTCGAAGTTCTGCTCGGCGGCACCCCTCGCGCTACGTCAGAAGACACACGCGCGGCTGCTGTGCAGCCGCGCGTGTCTGCTGAAGAGCGCGTGCCAGGTAGGCAGGCACGCGCGCTGCAGAAGATGACGACGGCCGCTGACGCGGCCGCCGTCTTGACCGCGGCTGACGCGGGTCAACCCGGGCCCACGACCCAGAAACGCCAGCGCGCGGCACCCTCCGCTGACGTCGTGCAAGTCAACGCCCCCCCCCCCCCCCCCCCCCCCCCCTTTGACTGCGCAGCAGCTGCAGGCGCTTTTCTCGCTATTGCAGCAGCAGGCGCCCGGTACTATTGCTACATCGACGGACTATGATTCTGCATCCGTAAAAATGGAAAAGCAGAAAGAGGCAGTTGCAACTCGCACCACCAAGGTCGCCCACGCCACCACCGCCGTTCCTGCGCCCGCCCTGCCTACTGAACCAGTTCAAGTTTCTGCAATTGACGACAGCGACAACTCGGACAATGACGACGGTGAGGCCCCCGACAACCTTGCCCGCCGTCGCATTCTTGCACCCGCACCCCCCTACCTCCCCTTAACCCGTCAACCGCAGCTACTACCTTCATGCGCAAAGGAGTGCGCGACCAGGCAGAGGTATTTTCTACAACTCAAGCGCACCTGAGGCATGTCGAGTTCAAGCTCCGCAACGAGGACGTCGAGGGCGCACTCTCCAACGTGGCGCAAGTCGAAATGCTCATCAACAAGCGTTTCGAGGTGCTCTTGGTGGCGGACGAGGCCGGGTTTGAGGCGGCGGATCGGTTCCAGCTCTACCAAGCCAAGAGCGTCCTCACGTCGCGCTCTTACAAGCTTGCAGTAGCCGACGTGGCGGCCCTCAAGCGTGCACGCACCGGCTTCGCCCGCGGAGGTCGCCTTCCCGCTCGAGATGGCGAACCAAGAGCAAGGGCATGCCACCCGTGGGCTGCCACGAGCCCCGCTTCAAGGGCGTGTGCTTCCGTTGTGGCCAGCCCGGACACATGGCAAACAATTGCCCTATGGGAGGGCGTGGCGCACAAGGCCCCGCACCCATGGTGTGAGAGGACCCATGGGGCGGCGCCCCTTGCCACTATGCCGGGGGGCGTAGGTGGATGCACCGGTGGTGCGTAGGCTGGCTAGGAGCCTTAGAGGGTAGCTCAGGCCAAGGGGGCCAGGAATCAAGCATAGCCATAGGGGCTAGATAGGCCGTATGCCTAGGCTTGTATGCCTTTGTGTGGAATAATAAAAGTTGATTAATAATTAGAGAGAGAGAGTGAGAGAGAGAGAGAGAGAGAGAGAGAGAGAGAGAGAGAGAGAGAGAGAGAGAGAGAAGAGGAGGGAACGAGGGCATGGCAAGTCAAAGGCAAGCCCATCCTCAAAGAAGGCAGCCATGAAGGAAGCTTGGCTAGGTGTAAATTATGAAATAAGGGCTGAGAAAAGCAAATCCAAAAGAGAGAGAGAGAGAGAGAGAGAGAGAGAGAGAGAGAGAGAGAGAGAGAGAGAGAGAGAGAGAGAGAGAGAGAGAGGGAGAGAGAGAAACACGGAATGAGGAAGAGAAGAAGAGAAAAATAGAGAGAGAGAGAGAGAGAGGGAGATAAAGGGAGAGAGAGAGAGAGAGAGAAAGAAAGAGAGAGAGTGAGAGTGAGAGAGAGAGAGAGAGAGAGAGAGAGAGGCCCTAGGAGCTAGTCCTTAGCCTCTCCAGCACTCTCCAGCCTAGTATAAAGTGCTCCTCTGCAGCCAGCCCTCTTCATTGTTCGGTTCTCTTCATTTGTTTCTCCTAACCGAGCGGCTTGCGCCGGCCGCCTTCGGCGGCCGACGCTCAACAGCGCGGCCTTCGGCCGCGCGTGAGGGAACGACAAGCACACAACACACAGAGTTGCTCGTAACGGCTATACAAACATGGCAAGTCCTACCGCGGCCTAACTGTCCAAACCTCTAATGGCAGAGTCGGAGCCCGCGCCTACATGCGGTGAGCTCCAAGGGCGTGAAGAACGCCCGTCAGAGAGCGCCACAGCTCCCGGACCACAAGCGTGCTTGCGCCGATTGCGGCGGCTCCAGACCCAGCACGCAAATGGCGCCGCAAGCCGCGCACAGCTTCATCAAGGGGCCCCGCCGCTGCAACGCCTCCCTCGGCAGGCGCAGCCAGCACGGGCGCCAGCAGCCCTGCAAGCTGATCGGCTGCGTCCAGGCAAGAATCGCGGTGACGATCTAGGAACAACTCAGGGGGGGCCGCAGGGAGAGACGAATGTGCAAGAACCTGTATCAGAAGCAGTGCGTGAAAGCTCTCTGCGAGACGGAAGAGCTGGCCGAGGGTCGCCTCAGGAACACGGGCCTGAGGGGGTTGCAGCGCCTGAGCAAGGAACTGGAATGGCTCCGCAACGGCATGAGGAGCCGGGCCACCCGCCGTCACCGCTCCGCCTCCCACAGCCACAAATTCTACTCCTGCCACGGGCGGGACTGGCGGCAGATGCAACCGCGACCCTGGAGCAAGAGCAGACGCAGCAGCAGCTGGAGGCAGTGGGGCCGGAACACGAGATTGGACGGGTGCAGCAGGAAGCGGAACCTCAGGAAGCGCCGCCTGACGCTGAGCGGCATGGGCGACGGCAACGTGCGAGCTGCCTTGGGTCTGAGCAGCCCTCTCCTCAAGCATCGCGGTCGTTACCGCACGTTGCAGATCCGCCATCCTCACGGGCGGATCATATGATCCTCCACCATTCCGACCGCAAGGACCCCACCAGCCACCGCGACCGCCACGGTGAGCTTGCCACTGACCCGACTGTTGATTACGCCGGGGTGAATTGCGTCGGCGCCGGGAGGACGCCCGATCCTGTTGGGGCGCAGGAGAATGGGGGCGAGATAGGCGACGGTCCGGCGAGGGAGGACGAGACTGCGACGCTAGCTTTGCCTACTGAGCCACTGGTGGCGCGACAGGGGCAGCTGGGTCCACTGCAGGGGGCACAATCAACTGCGCCGGGCCGCCAGTGGTGGCGGACGCCGGCTGCGGGGACGAGGCAGGCGCAAAAGTCTGCGGCTCGGGCCAGAGGCTGGGGGCCCAACGGGAGCGGGGGCCGGGAGTGCGGCGTCAGACTTTGTCAGGGCTTCAAGTGGAGCCTGGGGAGCAGTTGGCGCGGACGGGGCGGACTGCTCAGCAGCGGCAGGGGCCGCAGACTGAGCGGCAGCTACTACAAGGGGAGCCACGGGTTCGGGGCGAGGAGGCTTTCCAGCGGATGCTGTCGAGGGCTTCGGAGCCAGAGGCACCGGGGGCTTCGTCGCCGTGGTCGCCTCTCCGGGCTCAGACTGAGGCTTGGTGACCACTGCCGACCAGGCGGCAACGCGCTCTGGCGACGGCTCGGGAGCACCAACAATCACCATCACGAGGTCGGGCAGGACGGGAAGAGAGGAGGCAGGCAGTTAGCGGAACAGGCGGAGGGCCGGAGAATGGGTACCAGGCTGCGGGTCGTCGGGCTTTAATTGCTCTGGTAGTGAGAAAGTACGAACGAGGAGTGAATGACTATGAAATGAAGTGGGTACAAATATGAAACCCTAATTGGGTTGTACCCCCTATGGGATACCCCACTATAGCCTACAGAAATAAGTAAGCTATATGTTCTGACACACCCCCATAGGCAAAGTGGGGAGAACAAGGGGTCACAAGACCAGTCAAGCAAAGCAAAGCAAAGCTCAGGGTGGATCACAAAGTCACCACGCATTCCGAGCACAAGTTCCAAGGCCAGAAGGCCAGTTCACATGCAAGCTCATATATAGAGATATACAAGAGCAAGAGTATATATAGGCGAAGGTACAAGCAAGGTCAGGAGCAGAGCAAGTGAGGCAAGACAGGCACAAGACCCAACTGCGTGCAACAACGCTGATGATCACAAGGCGCAAGTGCCTTGGTGAAGACATCAGCAGTGTTGGCCTCAGAGGCCACGTACGCAAGTCGCAACTGTCCACGCTGCTGTAGCTCACGAGCAAGAAAGTAGCGGAGAGCAATGTGCTTCGTTCTGTGCTCCAGTCGCTGCTCTCGACACAAGGCCAGCATGGCCTTGTTGTCTACGTACAGGACTGGAGGAGAACGAGGCTGCTCTCCAAGGTCGGTCAGCAGGTAGGTGAGCCAGCGTAACTCCTGTGCAGCCATAGCCCCAGCGTAGATCTCAGCCTCACAACTGGAGCCGAGAACAGAAGACGAGCGGGTAGCCCGCCACGAGACAGAGCCGGAACCAAGGCTGAAGGAGTAACCCTGTGACGACCGCTGCGTAGCCTGGTCGTCAGCCCAAGAAGCGTCTGCGTGCCCAGTGAGGACCACTGGACTGCGCCCTCCAAGCACTAGCCCCATGCCCGACGTACTGCACAAGTAGCGCAACACCCTCTTCGCTGCAGCCATGTGCTCTGGTCGGTGTCTCCCAGGAGCAACAAAGCGTGCGAGAATGCTAAGAGGGTATGCGAGGTCAGGTCGTGTGCATGTCATCAGGTACATGAGGCAGCCAACAAGCTCTGCAAACGGGCCACTCGACTCTACGGACTCATCCGAAGGCAGAGCTGAGAGTGAGTGGCGAGTAGGCAGAGGAGTGGCCTGAGGCGAGGAGTACGTGAAGCCGAAGCGCTGAAGGACCTGCTGCACCATGTGTGACTGAGTCAGGGTAATGGTGCGGCGTGCTCTATCCCGGGTGATTTGCAAGCCAAGGTAGCTGCGCAGTTCACCCAGGTCAGTGCACGTGTGTCTCTTCTGCAGCTCAGACTTCACGTAGGCGAGTCCAGCAGTGTCAGTTGTGGCAAAGACCAAGTCGTCGACGTACACGAGGATGTAGAATGGCGGCAGAGAGGTGTCGGTGCGCAGAAACAGCGACGGGTCGGCAGTAGAAGGAGCAAACCCAAGTGCCGCGAGCGTAGTCCTCAGTGTGTCGTGCCACTCACGTGGCGCCTGGCGGAGACCGTAGACTGGACGCCGGAGACTCCACTGGGTACCAGGAGGGAAAGACCCAGTGAAGCCAGGTGGGCGGCGCAGCCAGATCTCCTCGTGCAGGCTGCCCTGCAAGAAAGCTGTGCTGAAGTCGAGAGAGTGCAGCTCGTAGTCACGGTGAGCAGCAACGTGCAGCAGAACCCGAAGAGTGGTCATCTTCGGGGTGGGGGAGAAGGTCTGGAAGTAGTCAACCCCCTGCCGCTGACTGAAGCCACGAGCCACGTAGCGCGCCTTGAAGACAGGCGGAGAACCCGGCGGCCGCTTCACCGTGAAAATCCACATGCCACTGACGATGTTCGCCCCAGGAGGGGGAACAGCGTCAACGTAGGTGCCTGTGGACTTCCAGGAAGCCATCTCTGCATCCATAGCTGCCTGCCACTGAGAGGAGTAGGGACCCTCTATCGCCTCCGCGTAAGAGCGCGGAGTCGGGATGTCTGGTGCATCCGGGTCTCCCTCAGGGGCTAGCAGTACAGACGCGAGACGAGGTGAAGCGGCAGCCAGACACTGGAACTCCTCCTGCCTGTCCTCAAGGACGTCCGTGCCAAGGGCACACTCACCCCCGACGGACGGAGGACAGGCGGACTCAGACTCAGTGACAAGACGAGCAGCGTAGTCGAGACGACAGCGCGCAGCAAAGTCGACAAGCTCAGTGACAAGGGCAGACGCAGCAGACGACTCGAAGGAAGGGTCAGTGACAGCAGTAGCAAGGAGACGCGTGACAGTAGGACTGGCAGCACGAAGAGAGTCCGACTCCGGGTCGGCAAGAGCAGGAAGAGAGGAAGCAGGAGGAGAAGGCAAAGGGGCACGCAGAGGAGCAGTGGACGGACGCAGCGACATCCGGTGCGTGCCAGGGACAGGAGGAGGACGTTGACGCGAACCGCGACCACTAGCGCGCGCAGGACGAACAGGCGACGCAGGACGAGACGCAGGCTCACGACGCTCAGTAAGACCTCCAGTCGGACCAGCGTAGGGAGAAGGAGCAGGCAAAGGGGAGGCAGGCTGTAGCTGTGGCTGTGACTGGACAGGCTGCGGACCCTCTACGGGAGAAGGAGAAGGTGTAAGACCAAGAACCTGCTGAAGGAGCGGAACGAAGTACGGTCGGGGCCGCGCGGCGACGCTAGAAACAGCTGGAACAGCGCCAGCAGCCCCGGCCGGAGCACCCACTCCAGCAGCACCTCCAGCAGCACCACCAGAGGCCCCAGAAGCAGCACCAGGAGCACCCGCAGGCGGACCGCCAGCGGCAGGCTCAGCGACAACACCCTCAGCAGTACCAGCTCCAGGAGAACTCTCAGACCCAGCAGCTCCAACACCCAAAGGACGAGCACCGTCGGGACGCGCGACAGCAGTACCCTCTGCAGCCGAAGAACCACCAGCACCAGCAGCACGTCTCCAGCGCCTGGCAAACCACTCACGCAGCTCCGGTGGGGAGAGTGGCTCCCGGCGAGACGAAGCACCCCCAGGCTCAGCACCCCCAGGCTCAGTACCCCCAGGCTCAGCACCCCCAGGCTCAGCACCCCCAGGCACAGCACCCCCAGGCTCAGCACCCCCAGGCTCAGCACCCCCAGGCTCAGCACCCCCAGGCTCAGCACCCCCAGGCTCAGCACCCCCAGACTCCGCACCCCCAGGCTCAGCTCCAGCAGCAGCACCAGAGTCCCCAGTGACCTCGACAGGCTCGACCGCGTCTACCTGGGACACACCTGAAGGGGCAGGACCCTGAGGGGGGAGGGGGACTACCGGGGGGGGACCTGGTACCAAGAAGAGCGGGGGTGGGGGGAGGGACGGAGTGCGGTAGGGGAAGAGGCGGTAGTAGGGTACCGACTCGTCGAACGTGACGTCCTGGGAGGACAGAACACGTCGAGAGGTGGGGTGGTAGAACTGCCACCCAGGGGCGTCGGGGGGGAACCCCAGGAAGACGCAGGGAGCAGCGCGAGGGGACAGCTTGTCCGCAGACAAGTCGCGGACAAACGCCCGAGATCCCCAGACCCGGAACGCCGACGCATCGCCAACCTTCCCCGTCCACATCAAGACTGGGGACATCGCGGGTCGAGAGACCCGGGGGTGAAGGTTGATCTGATGCGTGGCGTACCTGACCGCAAACGGCCACAGAAAATGGGGGGCAGCCGCATGCATCATGGACGTACGAGCGACGTCCATGACCATGCCAATGCGGCGCTCAGCAATCCCATTCTGCTGTGGTGAGTCCGGAAGCGTGAAGGTCTGACGAATGCCTCGCGCACGACAGTAGGCACTCAGGAGGCCAGAGGAGAACTCTCCGCCTCTGTCCGAGTGCAGACGCAAAACAGGAAAGTCAGAGCCAAAGCTCCTCCGAAGCTGGAGACGAGCTGCGCGGATCCAGTCGATCAACACCTCAGTGACCTCACCCTTGCTGCGCAAGGGGAAGACTGTGGTGTAACGCGAGTAGTCGTCAACCACCAGCAGGAAGTAGCGCTCCTGACCCTGTCCACGGACGCGGGCTGGGCCCCACACGTCCATGTGAAGCGTCTGCAACGGGGCCTCTGTCGGAGGAAACTGGGAGGAGTGAGGGGCAGCACGCTGGCGCCCCTCGACACAGGGGACACAGGCAGGGCCAGGGCCCGGAGGAAAGGGAGGGAGGGACCGGGGAAGACCAGACACAAGGACTCGCGAGGCCATGCCTCTGAGCCGAAGCAGAGAGGGGTGGCCAAGGCGGTGGTGCCAGAGGAGGGTCTCGTGAGACAGACGACGACACGAGCAGGGGGCAGACTCAGGACCGGACCTGGACGCTGCAGCAAACACCTGACCAGACGAAGGGACCCTACCAGACGTAGTACCTGGAGGAGAAGCAGTGGTCAGTGTGTACAGGCTCGACCCTGGCCGACGTGTGAACGTAGCCAGGTGGCGACCTGTATCCGCCTCAGTGCAGTGAGTCACCCGCTGACGAGCAGGGGTGAACTGGTGGACACCCGCATCCTGGAGGTCAGCACCACTCACCAAGTTCGTCGAGAACGAGGGGAGGTAGAGACCAGTCAGGGTGCCAGAGGGGGCCGCCGGACACGGGAGGACAGTGGAGAAGCGAGACAGGACAGGCCCCCCAGAGGGGTCAGCCAGGGACACCGCAACCGGCCGACTCAGCGGCGTGAGAGTGGTGCGGTCCCTAAAGAAGGAGCGAGACGCTCCAGAGTCAAGGGTGAAGGTGTGAGAGGCCGAAGCCGACACAGTACCTGAGAGGGCAGACTCACCAGCACCTGAGAGCACAGACGCACTGGCACCTAGAGCAGCAGCCTCACTAGTACCTGACGCGGCAGTACCAATGCCCGGGTCGGGCGGGAAACACCGGTAACAGTCATCCTCATCACTACCAGTCACAGCATACATAGCAGAGAGAATAGCATCAAAGTCAAGATCATAAATGGCTACACCAGCCCTAGACAGTTCCCCCCAGCGGGGGATCTCAGCGGCCTCCGGAAACTGCTGACGCCAGGCGTCGGTCAGGCAGCCAAAGCAGCGGCGGGCTGTGTGGGTGCCTCCACACCTCTCCCCCGCACGGTCGCCGGTGCGAAGAACGTAGGGGCAGGGACCAAACGCACCACCACGCTGACGCTGCAAGTACCACTCACGGAGCTGCTGAGGGGCGGGGACGGTGCGAGACCGCTGCTGCTGCTGCTGCTGCTGCTGCTGGCGCTGACCACCCCCAGAGCTGCTCCGCTGGGACGAGCCACTCCGACCCCCGCCGCCTCCGCCACTCCCGCCTCCACCGCCACTCCCGCCTCCACCGCCACTCCCGCCTCCACCGCCACCCCCGTCTCCACTGCCACCGCCCCCACCGGTACCCTCGCCCCCGCCTCCTCCGCTGCCGCCTCCGCCGCCACCTCCGCCTCCACCTCCTCCACCGGTACCCCCACTCCCGCCACCACCTCCACCGCCACCCCCACTCCCCCCGCCACCCCCACCTCCTCCGCCACTGCCTCCTCTAGATCCACCCGCTCCCTTGCCCCCCTTGCCCTTGCCAGAGCGGCGTCTGCCGCTGGGGGCAGACGCCGCACCGACCGACTCAAAACCAGCGAGGTCGGCCGTAGCAGCAGAGGCGACAGAGGGCAGCAGGGGGGAAGGAGAACACCCCTCAAAGATGGGGGTGCGAGGGTCACCCCTAGAGGCCCCTACAGCGACTATACTCTTCTCAGCCGCTAGCAGGGACTCCTCAAGGAGGTCGACAGTGAGGGTGGTGGGACAGACAGAGAGAAACTGGTCCCTAACGACACGAAGGGACTCAGGAAGACGGGTGACGAGAAAGTAGAGAGTGATATACATGGGAGGAGGGTTTGCGGCGCGGAACTCAGCAGGAAGGGCAGCGCGGTAGCGAGCGTCACTAGCGCGGAGGTGGGTAACGAGGTCAGCGACAGTGGGAAAGGAAGCGAGGTCAGGGAAGAGAAACGGTAGCATGAGGCGGCTAAGGGTAGCGGAGGAAGGGGAGGAGTAGCGTGCAACTACAGCGTCGTACAAGGCCTGAGCGGTCTTGCACTGACTAAAGTGGGCACGCTCAGAGGAAGGGAGGTGGCGACGCACAGCAAGACGTGCAGCAGCATCGCGGGTCGCCCACTTGGAGCGAACGGCAGAGTCAGCATCAGCACGCGGGGCAGGGACAGCTCCAGAGACAAAGTCAAAGAGAGAGACCTCATCTATCGCATCACAAAGTAAGTACAGCTGCAGGTCTTCAATCCAGACGGCAAAGTCAATGGCCCTCCCCTCAGCGTCAAAAGTAAGAACATTGGGGGTGGCCATGGCAGCAGCTGAAAGTCTCACCGGGCTGGAAGAGTCGGGTAGGTCAGCAGCAGAGGAACACAGCTCAGGGACAGCAGCACGGCTCCTCAGGTGGCTCGCGTGGCTCAGGCGGCTCGGGCGGCTCGGGCGGCTCGGGTGGCTCGGGCGGCTCGGGCGGCTCGGGCGGCTCGCGCGGCTCGGGTGGCGTAGGGGCTCACGGGCGGCGCGGGCTGCTGGGGCTGCTCACGTGCAGCACGGCGGGCTGCAGCAGGGCCGGTGGTGGGCTGTAGCAGGGCCGGTGGCGGGCTGTAGCAGGGCCGGCGGCGGGCTGTAGCAGGGCCGGCGGCGGGCTGTAGCAGGGGCCGGTGGCGGCTGTAGCAGGGCCGGTGGCGGGCTGTAGCAGGGCCGGTGGCGGGCTGTAGCAGGGGCCGGTGGCGGCTGTAGCAGGGCCGGTGGCGGGCTGTAGCAGGGCCGGCGGCGGGCTGTAGTAGGGGCCGGTGGCGGCTGTAGCAGGGCCGGTGGCGGGCTGTAGCAGGGGCCGGTGCGGGCTGTAGTGGGGCCGACGAGGGGCCGAAGTGGGGCCTAGGCGGGCCGGCGGGCTGTAGGCGGGGCCGACGCGGCGGGCTGTAGCAGGGGCCGGTGGCGGGCCTAAGCGGGGCCAGCGCGGGGCCGACAGGGCGTAGGTGGGGCCGACGCGGGGCCGAAGAGGGGCCTAAGCGGGGCCGACGGAGCCTACGCGGGGCCGACACGGGGCCGAGACGGGGCCTGGGCGGGGCCTACGCGGGGCCGACGAGGGGTACGCGGGGTCGACGAGGGGTACGCGGGGCCGACGAGGGGTACGCGGGGCCTACGCGGGGCCGACGAGGGGTACGCGGGGCCTACGCGGGGCCTACGTGGGGCCGACGAGGGGTACGCGGGGCCGACGAGGGGTACGCGGGGCCTACGCGGGGCCGACGAGGGGTACGCGGGGCCTACGCGGGGCCTACGTGGGGCCGACGAGGGGTACGCGGGGCCGACGAGGGGTACGCGGGGCCTACGCGGGGCCGACGAGGGGTACGCGGGGCCTACGCGGGGCCTACGTGGGGCCGACGAGGGGTACGCGGGGCCGACGAGGGGTACGCGGGGCCTACGCGGGGCCGACGAGGGGTACGCGGGGCCGACGAGGGGCCTAAGCAGGGGCCGACGAGGGGCCTAAGCGGGGCCGACGAGGGGCCTAAGCGGGGCCGACGAGGGGCCTAAGCGGGAGCACGACGGGAGGGGCGACTCGGAGGGTCGCTAAAAAAAAATGCGCGCCTCGGGGCGCGCTTCGGTGGGCCCTAGGAACAGGCCCTAGGAAGGGACCTGCTCTGATTCCATGAGAAAGTACGAACGAGGAGTGAATGACTATGAAATGAAGTGGGTACAAATATGAAACCCTAATTGGGTTGTACCCCCTATGGGATACCCCACTATAGCCTACAGAAATAAGTAAGCTATATGTTCTGACAGGTAGCTGCCAATGAAGAAGGGGAGAGAAATGACCCGTCTTATACTGCGGAAGCGGAGCCAGAGAGTGAAAATGAAGATGAAGGGGACGGAGCAGAGGCAACGAGAGTAGGGACGGAGAGGAGAAGACTTGGGACAGCCAATCTACCCACAGCGGAAACAGAGGGGCGTGCAGGGCCATTGGATGCCGATCGAACGGATGAGAATCCAACTCGGCAGCAATCAACGACATCGAGTCGTGCACGCAGACATCGGACCGCGTCCCTCCACCCCGTGTCAGGATCGGCCCCGCAGCGCCCACGCTATTTTTCGCCAGTGGAGCTAGTGGAGATGGGAGACAAATTCGCTGACATCACGAATTGGGACATTTCCGCCCTCTGCGACAGTCGCCAACCGCCGCTGGCGAGACGATTGCCGCCAAACCTGTGCCAGTTATTCTCGCTGGCACTCTTGACCCCGCTACACCACCTCTCGCGAAACCCTGACTCCGAAGCGGGTTGGAAACTGCTTCTTTTCCTCCCGCGTTTGACCCTTCGCCAGGCTTCACCAAAGCACCCAAATTGGCCACAAATCAAGGCCCGTCTTCGGGCTTTCCAGCGTGGCGAGTGGTCACAGCTCTACCAGGATGCGGTAAACGCGGTCAACGCCCCTCCGCCCCCACGCCACCGACCCGATGTGACAGGTGTACTGAGCAGAGCCGAGGGGTTGGCGAAACGTGGCAGCCTGCGCCGAGCCGTGCTGGCGCTCGAGTCAACACCCGTCTGTACACCAAGTCCAGAAATTCTGGACGAACTCCGACAAAAGCATCCACCAGCGGGAGACGAACCGCTGACCTGGCAGACAGCCGACGCTCAGCCCCTGGGCATTTCCCACGCCGAATTTGCGAAGCTCCTTGGGAGATGCGAGAACGGGGTCGGTGATGGACCTTCGGGTACAACATTTGAGCACCTGCGCGATGCTGCAATAACCAACGCATCCGTCGGCACCCATCTGCACGCCCTGGTAAATACAATTCTGGGGGGAAATCTCCCAGAATCGGTGGCGGACCTGCTCACAGCGTCTCGACTCATAGCCCTGGCCAAACCTGGGGGCGGGGCCCGACCAATCGCAATAGGAGAATGCCTGACGCGGCTGGCTGCCAAAGCTGCGCTCTCGGTCATGGGGGATGCTACACGCGACCACTTCCTACCCCTACAGTATGGAGTGGCGGTGCCTGGAGGGGCGGAAGCGATAATTCACGCCGCCCGAACGTACGTGGACCGCCACCCGAACAGCCTGGTACTACAGAATGACATCGCGAATGCTTTCAACAGCATTTCGCGACAATCCATCGCAGCGGCGTTACAAGAGCCAACTCTGTCGCCACTGCTCCCACTGGTTCGCCTGACCTACGGTAACCCATCGCGGCTCTACTTGGATTCGACCTTTGCGAGCGAGCCCCTACGCAGCGAACGGGGCGTTCGCCAGGGCAATCCACTAGGCCCGCTCCTGTTTGCGGCGGGAATACACCCTACACTTCGTGACACTGCGGCAGCATACCATGGGGTGCTTTGCTTGGCTTATGCAGACGACGTGACATTCGTGGGCGCACACAGTGCCACTATAGCTGCCTTCAACCACTTCACCTCGAAGTTGGAATCACTAGGCCTGAAGCACAACCCGCAGAAGTGCACGGCATGGAGCGCTACTGCGTGCGACTCTGCTGGGTTGCCTCCAGGGGTGCCGTTCTGCACGGACGGCATCCGCTTGCTTGGGAGTTTTCTGGGGGCGGCCAACGGCGCAGCTACTTTCTTGGCGGGGCAGCTGCGGGACCTGGCGAAACCGTTACAGCTCATCGAGCGGGCTGATCCTCAGGTGGCCTCGCTGCTGATCACGCGCTGCATCTCTCGGCGCGTGGCATATCTCACCCAAACAACTCCCCCCAACCTCGTTTCACGGGATACCTGGACAGAGTGGGGCCATGACCTTCTCTTAGCACTCCTTACCTCGTGTAGCATTCGCGCTCTGGCGGGCAGAGCGGAACAGGCACGCGTCTGGGCGCAGGCCTCCTTGCCCCCTTCTCTTGGGGGAATAGGTGTTACTGACCCCCTCGTTGAGGGAGTCTACGGTTTCGTCGCGAGTTTCACACAGGCGGCTCTGCTCTTCTCTACGCTCGCGCTAGACACGGACACCGCACTCTCTCACGCGCGCAGCCATATGCTACGACCTGTGGATGAGAGCACACCGCTTCGCTCCTGGCTCACCGAGTGCGAGAACGCCCTGCCTTCCGACGCGCGAGAGCTGCTAGAACGGGAACGAATTAAGCGGACGGATGTCAAACTGCAGCACGCCCTTGCCCTACAGGTCCACGGTAGCCGCTTCGCTGTGCAAGTACAGGCAACAAGAGACATGGAGCTGAATCCACTGGCGGGCCATACGCAGCGGATGTTCTCTCTAACAGGCTACGGCACAGGGGACTGGCTGACTGCTATCCCTATAGAAGCAACCAGGCGCTTAGGGCCGGTACACTTCGACAATGCCGTCAGATTCAGGCTTGGGTTGCCCTTCTCCACCCCCAAAAACTGTGACTGCTCGGATCACACCAAAATCCTGGACCCCCGCCTCCCAAATCACCTCCTACGCTGCGGCACTGGCAGGCATCGCATCAACACCCACAACGAGCTCCGTGATGCCTGCATTAGTATGGCACAGGACGCGGGTTTTATCGTCCACAGTGAGTCGGCTGCCCACT